GCTAAAAAATTCATGCTAATGCTAACCTGCCAAGTATTTGAGATTAGCATTATGATGTATCATTTCCCCAGTTACACTGTGCTGTGTGCCTCATAGCTATTCACAACTCGTTTCATAGAGGGATTTGTTAAACTGCTGTAATCCAAAAATACACACCTCATTGATGGCAGCGAGCTTGGAAGAGTCTCAATACAGAATAAATTGACAACTATTTGCAGAGAATGGCTGCTCTAATTATAATCAGAACTAAGGGAGGAAGGGAGAAAAGAAAGAAAAAAGGAAGGACAGATCCTCCAGAAGATATAAAATTAGTGCCTGTAATATTTTAATGTATAAACAGGCATTTCTGTTACAGGAACACACACTGGTCTCCTTCACAAGTCCACATCACAGAGTTCTTCCTTCCAAAAAGTATACTGGTGATATGTATAAGAGAAGTCCAGTTAAAAGTAAATCTGTAACCCATTTTCCTTAAAATAATTCATTTTATGTTCAAGAGGCAAGCGTAATGGAGGAAGTTCAAGCTGCTCTGAAGAAACTGGCAAAAAATGAAGGCCCCAGGAATTGTTGGAATACCAACCGACATATTTCAAAAAACAGATGCAGCCTTGGAAGTGGGAAACAGGTATGCCAAGAAATCTGGAGAACAACCACCTGGCCAGCTGACTAGAAAAGATCTATATTTATTTCCATTCCATAAAAGGTACTCCAACAGAGTGGAAATTATTATCAAGTGTTATCACTAATATCACATACAAGCAAAATCCTGCTGAAGATTACCCAAAAGTGACTAGAACAGTACATCGATAGAGAACTACCAGAAATACAATCTGGGTTTAGAAGAGGCTGTGGCACTAGGGAAGTCACTGCCAATGTCAGTTGGATCTTGGCTGAAAGTGATGCCACATTTCTCCTTGTAGAGCCCAGCCTCCCAAATGATCTGTTCTTCATATAGGTTGAAAAGGTATGGAGATTGGACACATCCCTGGCATTTACCTCTCTCTATTTTGAACCATGCATTATTTCCTTGCTCTGTTCTGATGACTGCCTCCTAGTCCAAGTACAGGTTTTGCATAAGCACAATCAAGTGTTCTGGGATTTTCATTCTTCTCAGAGTTAACCACAGTTTGTTGTGATCCACACAAATGCCTTTGCATAGTCAATGACACATTGATAGACATTCCTCCGATATTTCCTGCTCTCACCCAATACCCAGCTAACATTACCTGTAATATACCTAGTACCATGGCCTCTTCTAAACTCAGCCTGCACTTCTGGCAATTCACCGTTGATATGCTGTTTCCAGTTGCTTTTGTGTATTTTGTAGCAGAATCTTGCTTGCAAGTGATAATCCATGATATTGTTTGATAGTTTCTGCACTCTGTTGGGTCACCTTTCTTTGGAATAGGAACAAATATGGATCTCTTCCAGTCGGTTGGCTTGGTGGTTGTCCTCCAGATTTCTTAGCACAACTTAGTGAGTGCATCCAGGGCGGTGTCTGTTTGTTGAAATATGTCAGTTGGTATGCCGTCAATTTCTAGGGTCTTGTTTTTTGCCAGTTCTATCAGAGCACCTTGAGCTTCTTCCTTCATCACCACAGGCCTAGCTCATATGTTGTTTCATGAAAGTCTTCTACAAACTCCTTTTGGTACAGTGACTCTTGATACTCTTTCCATCTTTTTTTAATGCTTCCTGGATCATTTAATGTTTTGCTGAAAGCATTCTTAAATCCTTAAGTATTGCAACTTGAGGCTTGAATTTGTACATAGTATAAGTGTAAAGTAAAATCAAGCTATCATTTCTTTCTATATGTGTATATGGATTTGGTCACAAATAATATTGTACTGTAGATCACAGTTGATGTTTTAAAAACACTGTCTAGAACAAATAGAATCACAGTTGCTTTAGTACCTTGACCTTCATGTAATATCATTTTCCTAATTATTATTTAATGTCTGGGAAAAGTGAAAAGGATGAGAATGTGGCTCAGAATTAAAAGAAACCGGTTTTGTGAGGAGTTCAGTGTTCAAAATGGCTTTCCTAGCCCTTGAATTTCACTTTGCCATGTGGATGGGTAGAAATATATCAATAGGGTTTATTATCCTAACATAGGGGATTGGCTAGCCTTGCCATTGAATTGAGCAGATCTGTCAGTAAAGTAGGGAGCTATAATGGCCTAGTGGTAATAAACTGCACTGCAATCCCACTGGCACATGGTTCAAATCCACTAGCTGCTCTACAGAAGGAGGATGGCATTCCTTTCATGTGCCATTAACTGCCTCTGAAAAGCCACTGGAGGGTTAGCTGTAAGTTGGTTCCAGCTTGACAATACATAACAAAAAGCAGCAGAATGGGAAATTTTTTTTCACCACCAGCAAAGAAGCAAAAGAATATATTGCATCCTTGAGGACATAGATTCTTGCATCAGCCAGATGTGGGCCTTCAGGAGTGATATCCATAACAGCCACAGCAGAGAACCAGAGACTTGACTTGAGACAGAGCAGATGTTGGGACTCTTATACTACCGGACCAAAACTAAGAGCTTTTGGACAAGTTTGTTAGAGGGCTATGACAGCAAGACCCAATATTGACAGGACTGAGAATTTTGTACCACTGGCCTAACACTGCAAAGCTCAAATCTGTGAGCATATTTTGGAAGCTGTCCTGACTGTCTTCTGCTGCTAACCTGAATTACAGCCTTTTGTTTTTCCCAACATGGTTTTGTGTAGTCTGAGACTGGACTTTGGATCATTTTGATCCAAAGCTGTAAGATTTGTATTGGAATGACTAGAAAGAGATGCGGGAGAGTGAAGGGACATGTCTGACTTCATGGGAATTGGTTTTATGTTGTTGACAGGGACAGTTCCCCTTTATGAAGTTGGTAAAGGACTATCCCCATGTGGTCCTTGCTCTTTTTTTTTTTTTTAAGGCCCTTGCTCTTTTTACTGAACCAGATTACTTAGGGCCTCATAGTTCCTTTATAAGAATTTTGAATAATCCTAAAATCAGTGGAAAGTGTTAGGTATTTATTGTCTGACTGCTTTTCCCCTAAAAAAAAATACTGAATGATGTCGGGAGCATCAAAAGAAAATGGAAGGTGGACTAAAAATGATTGGTGGACACTGAACCATTTTAGGAAGAAGCATATGATCAAGAACCAAGTAAGTATAAAGATGCACCTGATCCAAACTATGGTATTTTCAGTTACTTCCTATGCATTGCAAAGTTGGATAGTGAATTAGGATGATAGAAGAATCAATGTCTTTGAATTGTAGTGTTGGCAAAAAATACCAAATATGATTACTAAAAGAAAACACAAGTTTGACTTGGAAGCATAGCAAGCTTGCTCCTTAAAGGCAAAGATGGTGAAACTTAGTGTCATATGCTTTGGGCATGTTTTCAGGAGGGCCATTACAAAGAGAGACATCAGGCTGGGAAATTTGGAAACTCAGGGAAAGAGAATCTGACCCTTAACAGAATGAACTGACACAGTGTCTAACAATGGTCTGAAGTATGTAGGGGATCATGGTGATAGAGTAGGTTAGGGTAAGGTTCAGATCTCTTCATAGGGTCACTATGAGTTGTACTTCACTTGATGGCACATAACCACAACAAGGCATGACAATCATTTGGCTGAAAATTGAGCCACTGAGGTGAGTTGAGTTGTAAGGTAACTAAGGACCATAGACTTGGGGATTGTACCAGAGTTTCAGACTGGACATTTTTATATAATTAAAAATTTTTCATATCCCCCCTCACCCTGCTCTTTCCAGGAGCCTCTCCTGTGATCACTTTTAGAACAGTCAGCACTGATACCCAGACACCATCTGACTCTTCTGATCTTGGGGTCATGGACTGTTAGTCCTTTGGACTGATTGTTCCTGTGCCCCTTTGATTTTCTTTGCTCTTCTTTCTTCTGAACAAAGCTATTATTTTGTTTTTAACTGTGATTAAATATGAAAGGAATTTCAGAACCAGCACTGAATAAAGTGTTTCTGAGAAATGTTATATTTCTTTAATAAGCATTTATTGATTATCTACTCTGTTTCAGATACGGCTTTATAGTCTTGTCCTCTCATCTACAAAGTTGGTTTGATAATACCTCTTGGAATTACTGTGAATATGAAATGAGTTTATGCATGTTATTACACATTTGTGTTGAGCTCTTTTCCTTGGCCTCTGTAATATCATACCCTGTAAAGAAAGGTGCCTTGTTTAGATGGTATTAGTCAGGTTTTCCTTTGTAACTTTTTAAAAAAACAATTTAAGGCTATTTACATGGGAGAGTATTTTGTTGACATAACCTGAAATGATAATATCAATAACTTTTATTTAAAATATTTAATAATTCTTTTATTGCTTCTAGTAGTAAGATTATTGGGAAATCAATGAAGTTATGTTGCATTTGTGGTTCAAAACATTATTTTCCAAACACTTCAGCTGTTATAATCAAGGATAGATAAGAGTTTAAGAAAACAAACCTTTTAAGACTTTTTGTATATACAACCTTACTTTAATTTAACCTGCTTTTGTTACAATTTAACCATTTTGAGTTTGTCATGAATTTAGTAAGAATTAGTGTTATATTCATAGGACTGCTTGCCAGGTCACTTCAGACTTCATAAAATGGTCACATTAGTGTCTGAATTTGTCAGACTGATACTTTTCAAACTTCTGAACTTGGAATGAAATACAACTTTAATATGAATAGAAAGTATGACTGGAAGAGAGGGTAAAGTGTTCAGTTGTGATTTTATTAGAAACATCAGGAAGAAAGCTCATTTTGGAGCACATTTCAATTCCTGTGTCCCTTTGAAGGATGCTCAATAAAACATATCTTCAGGATGACTTTTTAAAAGAATCAGTAGTCTTTCATCTTTTTTCTCCCTGCCCAAGTATACTATTTGTCTGACTACACTGATTTTTCCCAAAAAGCAGGATAGAAAATATCAATGTGTAAGTACCATGTGCACTTACTTATATCCATTTCTCTTCTCTAGATTTCACCACCCAATTCTCAGCCCCTTGGAGAGCAGTTTCCAGCTTGAAGTGGATGTCCTGAGTCATCTGCTGAAGGCCCAAGCACAGGTGTCAGAGTGGAAGTTCCTCCCATCTCTGGTTAACTTACACAGCGCCCACACCAAGCTGCAGACCTGGGGCCAGATCTTTGAGAAGCAGCGGGAGACTAAAAAGCATCTGTTTGGAGGACAATCTCAGAAGGCAGTTCAGCCCCCACACCTTTTCCTTTGGCTCATGAGACTAAAAAACATGCTCCTTGCCAAGTTTAGCTTTTACTTTCACGAGGCACTGAGCCGACAAACGACTGCTTCAGAAATGAAAACGTTGACTGCAAAAGCAAACCCAGACCTTTTTGGAAAGATTTCTAGCTTCATCAGGAAATACGATGCTGCCAATGTGTCCTTAATTTTTGACAACCGAGGTTCAGAGAGTTTTCAGGGCCATGGATATCACCACCCCCATTCCTACAGGGAGGCCCCAAAGGGTGTGGACCAGTACCCAGCCGTTGTGTCTTTGCCCAGTGACAGACCTGTTATGCACTGGCCCAATGTCATTATGATCATGACAGACCGCACATCTGACCTGAACAGCTTGGAGAAAGTGGTCCACTTCTATGATGACAAAGTCCAGAGCACTTATTTCCTGACCCGCCCAGAACCTCACTTTACAATTGTCGTCATCTTTGAGTCAAAGAAATCAGAGAGAGACTCCCACTTTATTTCCTTTCTCAATGAGCTCTCACTTGCCCTTAAGAACCCCAAAATTTTCGCCAGTCTGAAGCCTGGGTCCAAAGGTTAGCAAGTTCTTTGTATGAGACTGACAACAGCTCTAATGATCCACGGTGGTCTGTGATTACACTTTCTATCCATTCCGGCTTCTTATAGAGCTGAGTTAAAGACAGCTTCTCCCTAATTGTCTTGCACACCTTATAAGCAATTAAGACCAATTGCATTAAGTATCCAAAGAGCAATCTACAAAGTGATCATGGCTACTGTGTATTTCCATGGTACAGCAGAATAGTTTCAGTATTTTCCTGTGTTTCATGTAAGTAAGATGGAATATTTATTGGTCCAAAAGTGTCATTTCCAGATGTTTTATATTGTTTGAAATGTTGCATTGTACTGTAGGTCCAACCACCCACTCCCTTCCCCTTCTACTCAAAGAGTAATGGGGTAAGGTAGTAAATGGCCTTTTTAGAATTAACGACTGTATATTTTTTCCTCTTATAAATTAGGAAATTAATATGGAGTTGTTATTTTTGTGATTCCAATTTATAAATTATTTTTATGCTAAAATGATGGTCTTGGTAGGAAATGTCTATCAGTTATTAAAATTGAAGTTGAATATAAGTAGCAAAGCCTGGGGCTTTAATAATTCAGAAGACCCTCATGGCGGCTTTTGTAGCTGGAAGATCTTTTGAGACGATCTACAAACCTTACTGCATTTCTTTTTAAACCTTACAAAGTTTTGAGTTTTTTGTTGAAGTCAGCACAAGCCGTTATGTAGTTTCTTCATTCTTTAGCACACTACCTGCTTCACTTTCTGTTTATCACCTTTCTCCCGAAATGTTCTTGTTTGCTCTATTGCCAAGTTATTTTTAGTTTAAAAAGCATGCAGTCTTGAATTTTCAAGCCCTTTCATTGCTTCTGCAACTTAGCCCACTTTTATAAAATAAAAAATGAAGGGTTTAATACTTGTTAAAAATCAATTGCACATTTAAAAGACCTTTTCATACTTGAGTAATCAACTCAGTACATAAGCACATCTGAAATTGGATGTCATACCTGTCTCCTGAAGATTATTTTTAGAAGCAGTGTTACATCTTAATACATACTGCCCCAGCACTTTCCTTTAGTAAGTGTTCATGGGGAACTCAGTGAATCAGTTAAGGCATAATGGGCTGTGGAGACTTTTACATCTAGATTTATTGATTCAGAATAAAAATAAGCCACAAAGGGAAATGTAGCTGTCATGTGAAAGTTCCTTCAAAGTTAGTGTGAAATAGAATGGCCTTATCAGTCCGGTTTCTTGTGGAGCCCATATGTCTGAGGTTCATGTGGGGCCGCTATTTTGCTGGATGCCAGCAACAGGCATGCAGACAATGTTTTTGGACACCTCAGAGCCCCAGCAAGTGTGTGTTTAGGAGGCCTGCCAGCCGCTTGTGGAGGAGCCCACTGGCTTACTTTCTGGGGAAGGCATGTGGTGGTGTTTTTTTAAAGAAGGATCATGTGGCTTTGGTGAGGGGGGAGAGAAACAACAACAACCAACACTGCCCCCTAACAACAACAAAAAAGTAACAAAAACATTTAAATAGAAAATTATTTATCTCGTAATTTTCTGTTAAATACACTTAGATTCTATCAAAATCTGCAGATTTGACAACATTGACCTTAAATAAAAAATTGAAAAACAGAACTAAATAATCAAGTCATGTTTCCTCACATTTGTGTTTTTCCAAGTAGCTTAAAAATACTCAATGTGTGCGTAGCTTTTTTTCCTTTCCACTAGATAAAACCACCATTAGCCTTAGTGAAGGAATGGTCTGCCATGCACTTTTGGTGAATTGTGAGAAGAGTATAAATAAAATATAAATAAATAACCAGGCCTTACCTAAAACATACTGAATTGCAGGTTTACTTTTAAACATTTTGGTTGAAGCTGAAGAAGGAAGTATTTTACTCTTAAGACTAATAACGGTTTTAATTCAGAATGAATCCACAAAGGCAGTGTTTTGCACATTAGGAGACTGAATCAGCAAGTTTTATGCAGACTTCTTTGAAATGTTTTTCTAAGTCTCAAGCTGATAAATTTTTTTCTGGAAAACCAGGAATATAGTCAATACTGAGTTTGCCAAGGAGTCCATCGAGTCCTTTTAGGATGCAGCTTTGTCAAAGGGCACCAGGCACTGACAATGGTCTTCTCATGGGGCCAGTCTCTTGATATATAATTTTGGGGAGTCTTCAAATTTTTAATTGAGGAGCTAATACCCTTTAAATAATTGCTTTATGGGAAAATGTGCTTTCACGAGAATAAATAATTGTTCATTCCACATTGCTGTCCCGATAGAACCAACTCATAGCTGACCCGTAAGTGGGTTTTGGAGGCTGTAATTCTCATGAGAGGAGCTTGTCCATCTTTCTCCCTTGTAGCAGCTGGTAGATTCAAACCTCCAGAAAAGTGCCCCCTTTGGTTTGGCTTTTAGTGCAGTTCTCTAAAGCTACAACATCAAGGCTTCCTATTTAGGTTTGAAGCCTATAAAAATAGGTGAATCCTAAACAAAACTTACTGCCATTAACATGAATCTAACTCATAGTGACCCTGTAGGACAGAGTAGAGCTGCCCATGGGGCTTCCAAAGCTGTGATCTTTCTGGAAACAGATTGCCACATCCTTTTCCTACGTAGCAGCTAGTGAGTTTCCACCACAGATCCTTCGTTAGCTGTTGAGCACTTAAATGCTGCACCACCAGGGCACCTTTCCTTAAACACAACACCTCTTCTTTCTTTTCACATGTGTGACAAACCTGTACTTTGCCATAACAGTAAAAAGAGTTGGTGTAGGAGAAGAGATAGATAAATGCCTCACCACCCTGCCCACTCTTCTTTCTTTAGAATCTTTGTGATTCTTTGTTCTTAAGCGTCTGTTCTTGGTTGATAGTGTCATTTCCATTCTGTATTCTTACTGTTTTTCCCCCTTTCTAATTGCTCCTGTTACTGAGATGTGTTAAAACCTACAAATATGATATGGAAGTCCATTTCTTCCTTTATTTCTGCCAATTTTAGCACCATGTATCTTACTAGGTTCATGTAAATGAGTAATATCTGTGCCTTTCTGATGTAACCTTTTTATCACTATGAAGTTTCTAGTTTGATCTCTAGTACTACTTGCTTTTTAGTCAATTTTTCCTTCCATTTTCCTAGCTTTTCCACTGTGTTTATGCTTGCTGTTTGCATGATGTGCCTTTCCCCCCATCCTTTTACATTTAATCTATTTACATTGTTATCTTCAAAAAGGTTTTTTTAGGTGCTGTTGAGTTGGCTACAGCCTATAAAACTCTGCCTGCATTCATGCCATCCCCACAATCTCTGCTCCATGTCATCTCATTACTACAGTCAGCACGTCTAAGAGTTTACAAATGGAACTGTGGTTGAATTGGTTTCCACTCATTGCAACCCTCTAGATCTCGGAGGCTGTAACTCACAGGGAAGAGGTTAATTATTCCCCCGAGTTGCTGCTGGTGCATTAAAATAGCCAGAGACACTTGGCCTTTGGGTTAGAAGCATAGTGTCCTATGTTCTATGCCGCTAGAGCTCTCTACGAGTTTATAAAAACTCAAACTCATTGCCAGAATCAGCTCATAGCTGACCCTCCATTGAGTCCCTGAGTCTGGAAATCAAGTGGAGACTGCTTATCTTTCTCTCTATGCGTGTCTGGTGGATTTGAACCACATGAGGAGTGTAGCTGGTAAGTTATTAGTACAGCTGCCTTCTGACTATGTTACAATCAACAGTAATTTAGAAGAATAGAGGTGGGGGAACCCCAAACAACACCAGATCTGTCTTTGTTCTCCAGCTTCCAACCTCTTGCCTCTTGACTGGTGTGTTTAACTCTTTTTTTCCTATGAAGTTTGTATAGTCAGGATGCTGTCATTACTCAACATGTTCTCTTTTGGTTTCCTCCTGTTAGTTGGTTTGATCAGGTTCTCTTCTCTGCTGTGTTCTTTTCTTTGAAGGCAGTTAATGTCTCGTAAAGGAGGCCCTGCTTAGAACAAACTGTTAAGTGCTCCAGTACTAACTAACCGAGAGGTTGGTGGTTTGAATCTACCTAGAGGCAAGTCTTGACAATTTACTTTCCAAAAGTCACAGTGATTAAAAACCCTGTGAGGAGCATGGCTCTCTTCTGTCACAGGTGACATCACCAGGAATTAGAATTGACATTTTTTGTTGTTGTTGTTGATAATATCTTGTATTGCCTTGAACAGTTATTCTGTCATTGTTGTTATGTGCTGTCAAGTTAGAACCAACTCCTAGCTGACCCTATAGCAAGTTTTCAGAGAAAGCTATTTGTAGGAGAGAAGGTTGTCCATCTTTGTCCCGTGTAGCAACTAGTGGGTTTGAACCACTTTCCTTTGCGTTTTCAATGCAACTTCTTTCCACTAAACCACTAATGGTCCCGTGAGAGGCATTAGAGATTTCAAAATGATGATAATCTAGCATTTTCCTTTATTAGCCAGAATATTTCAACAAAGAATTTTCACTTCTTTACTAGTATTAGTTTTCTGTTAAGTACAATTTCAATGACTAGAAAAATGCTTGATCTATTTCCATTGAAGCTCTATGTCAAGAAAACAAAGATTCTTCCCATTGGGCCAGTTGGCAGCATCACGATATATGGTGAAGAGATAGTTAACAGCTTTAGTTTGCTTGGCTCCACACTCGGCAATCTTAGCACCAGCAGCCAGGAAATTAAAAGACGAATTGCATTGGGAAAATCTGCTGTCAGAGACCTCGCCAAAATTCTGAAGAGCAACAGTGTTAATCTGGAGACTAAGGTGCACCTAATTCAGGCCATGGTCTTTGCAATTACTTGCTATGTATCAGAGAGCTGGACAATGACTAGGGATGATAGAAGGAGAATTGATGCCTTTGAGCTTTGGTGCTGAAGAAGAGTATTGAATATACATACTATGGACTGCTAAGAGACCAAACAGGTTCATAGTAGAATGAGATTAGGTTGCACCATGGAGGCAAGGATTCTGAAGTTTCATCTACCATACTTTAGACATGTTATAAGGAAAGACCAGTCCTTGGAGAGGGACATCATGCTTGGGAGGGTAGAGGGACAGCACAAGAGAGGAAGACCCTCGACCAGATGGATTGATTCCAGTGACTGGGGTAATGATGGTAGGTGTGTCAGAGACAATAAGATTGACATAGGATAGAGCAGGGTTTAGGCTGTTGTACAGCACATAACAACCACCACAACAACAGTTTTTGAATAGTTGTTTCTTTAGCATCCTCTGAAGACACCAGGAGATTTTAAAAGAAATACCTGTTAAGATTTATGTGTCTTAGGTAGATCTACAAGTGTTAAAATAGCAACTTTTCTCTTTTACCACAAGGCACTTTACGTAAATATTATTCATTTCTCTTATTTTTTTTTCTACATGGTTAATTTTTTCTCTTAATAACTGGTGGCTGTCTT